GTGCCCAGCCTTTTTTTTAGTAGAGACAGGTTTCACTGTATTAGCCAGGATGGTCTTGATCTCCTGACCTCCTTCCTGATCTGCCTGCCTGGGCCTCCCAAAATGCTGGGATTACAGGTGTGAGCCACTACGTGTGGCCTACTTTTTTTTTTTCTCAGAATTTTGCTCAGAAATTTCACATTCATATTAATGAAATTTTTTTTTTTCTGTAGTTTTCTTTTTTTTTTTTCTCAAAGAGGTTGCAGTTCAGGGGAAATGAATGGACCGTACTAACAATCTTTTTTTTTTTTTTTTGAGAGAAGGAAAGAAAAAAAAAGGCGTGAAGGAGAGGAAGAAAGAGGAAGAAAAAGAGGGAAAGAGAACGGAAATGTTGCTTTATTCTAAAAAATGGGTATTAATAACAGCCAATCAATATTTCATTTAAACCTATGAGTAGGTGTGATGTGGTATTGACAAGAATGTATATTTTGTGTATTTAAAGTGGAGAGCTCTATAAATATTTATTAAGTTTACTTGCTCCGGATCTGAGTTCGAGTCCTTGATATCCTTATTAATTTTCTGTCTCATTGAATCTAAGTCTCTATGTATCTGGGTGTTAGGATCATTAGCTCTTATTGTTGCATTGATCCTTTTACCACTGTATCTTTGTTGCTTTAAAAATCTATTTTATCAGATGCAAGAACTGCAACCCCTGCTTTTTATTTATTTATTAATTTTTGCTCTCCATTTAGTTGGTTAATCTTTCTCCATCCCTTTGTTTTGAGTCTTTGTGTATCCTTGCATGTGAAATGGGTCTGGATGTAGCATACTGTTGGGTTTTGGCTGTATCTTTTGATTGGGGGATTTAGTCAACTTAAATTTAGGGTTACTGCCATTTGATGTTAACTGGCTGTTTTATCCATTCGTTGATGTAAATTCTTCTTTATGTTGGTGCTCTTTACTTTTTGGTATATTTTTAGAAAGGCTAATACTGGTTGTTTCTTTCTGTGTGTAATGCTTCTTTCAGAAGCTCTTGTAAAGCAGGCCTGGTGGTAATAAAATCTCTGAATACTTGCTTGTTCATAAAAGATTTTATTTTTCCTTCAGTTGTGAAGCTTAGTTTGGCTGGATATGAAATTCTGGGCTGAAAGTTCTGTTCTTTAAGGATGTTGAATATCGACCCCCACTCTCTTCTGGCTTGTAGAGTTTCTGCTGAGAGATCTGCTGTAAGTCTAATTGGCTTGCCTTTGTGGGTAACCTGACCTTTCTCTCTGGCTGCCCTTAGTATTTTCTCCTTCGTTTCAACCCTGGTGAATCTAACGATTATGTGCCTTGGGGTTGCTCTTCTTGAGGAATATCTTTGTGGTGTTCTCTGTATTACCTGGGGTTGAATCTTGTCCTGCTTTGCTAGGTTAGGAAAAATTTCCTGAATAATATCCTGAAGAGTATTTTCCAGCTTGGATTCATTCTCTCCGTCGCATTCAGGTACACCTATCAAACGTAAATTAGGTCTTTTCACATAGTCCCACATTTCTTGGAGACTTTGCTCATTGCTTTTTATCCTTTTTTCTCTAATCTTGTCTTCTCGTTTTATTTCATTAAGTAGGTCTTCGACCTCTGATATCCCTTCTTCTGCTTGAACAATTCGAGTGTTTAAACCTGTGTATACTTCTCGGAGTTCCCATATTGTATTCTTCAGTTTCATTAATTCACTTATATTCCTCTCTAAGTTGTCTATTCTCATTAGGATTTCATCAAACCTTTTTTCAAAGTTCTTAGTTTCTTTACATTGGGCTACAACATGTTCTTTTAACTCACAGAAGTTTCTTATTATCCATGTTCTGAAGCCTGATTCTGTTAATGGGATGCACTCGGTCTCCATCAAGCCTTGTTCCCTTGTTGATGAGGAACTGTGATCCTCTTTAGAGGGAGAGGCGTTCTGATTTTGAGTATTCTCAGCCTTTTTACGCTGGTTTCTTCCCATCATTGTAAATTTATCCACCTGTCGTCTTTGTAATTACCAACTTTCAAATTAGCTTCCTTCTTGAGTCCATAATAGGCGACTCTGCCTTCCCGGAGCTCCAAACGTTGGTCAGAAGGGGAACCAGTCCCGTCTACTCTGCACCTAGAGCTGCCGCGCTGAGGTGCCAGCAAAATCGCTGCGCTGGCCGCAAGAGTCGTGCTGGAGACCCGTGGGGCTCCTCCACTGGGAATCTTCTGCTCTGTGGGCGACAAAAATTTGTCTGAAAGTGTGGCGTCCTCTCGTTCTCTGCGCTTTCACTGGGAGCTGCAATCCCGAGATGTTAGCGATCAGCCATCTTGGATCGTTCTACTTTTTTTTTTTAATCAACTTTATGGAGATGTAATTTACATACAGCCAATGCAGCTATTTTGAGTGTACAGTTCCCAGACAGATGCTGCCATCAGATGCCACCACCTGAGCAGCTGGCAGGTAGTTCTGGGGCAGTTTTGGCAAGTATATATACTTCTGTAGCCGCCACTCAAGATATAGAACATTGCCATTGTATTAAAAGCTCCCTCCACAGTAACACCAATTATTTTTCAAAGTATTCCAAAAGGATGAATAGGAGAGAATTATTTCTAACTAATTCCACAAGATAAGCATTACTCGAATACCAAAACCAGATAAGGATACAACAACAAAATAAAACTACAGGCCAACATTCCTGATGACCATGGATGCAAAAATTCTCAGCAAAATACTAGCAAACATAATCCAGCAATGCATTAAAGACAGCACACCAGAATTGAGTGGGATTTATTCCAGGGATGCAAGGATGGTTCAACATACACAAATGAATAAATGTAATACACCACATTGTATAATAGAATAAAGAAAAAAATCATATGATCATTTCAATAGATGGAGAAAACAGTGTTTGATAAAATTTAACATCTCTAGTTAACAAACTAGGTATAGAAGAAACATACTTCAAGCCTGGGCATAGTGACTCACGCGTATAATCCCAGCACTTTGGGAGGCCGAGGTGGGTGGATCACAAGGTCAAGAGATCGAGACCATCCTGATCAACATGGTGAAACCCCGTCTCTACTAAAAAAAAAAATACAAAAATTAGCTGGGCATGGTGGTGCGTGCCTGTAATCCCAGCTACTCGGGAGGCTGAGGCAGGAGAATTGCCTGAACCCAGGAGGCGGAGGTTGTGGTGAGCCGAGATCGTGCCATTGCACTCCAGCCTGGGTAACAAGAGCGAAACTCCATCTCAAAAAAAAAAAAAAAAGACTCAAAACCTATCAAAATGCCAATGACATTCTTCAGAGAAATAGAAAAACAATCCCAAAATTTGGAACCACAAAGACTATGAATAGCCAAAGCAATCCTGAACAGAAAGAACAAGCTGGAGGTACATGACCTGACTTCAAATTATACCATAAAGCAACAGTAACCAGAACAGCATGGTACTGGCATAAAAATAGACACATCCACTAGTGTAATGGAGTAGAGAACCCAGAAATAAATCCATATGTTTACAACCAACTCATTTTTGATAAAGACACCAGGAACATACACTGGGGAAGGGACAATCTCTTCAATAAATAATGCTGAGGGGCAGATGCAGTGGCTCACACCTGTAATCCCAACACTTTGGGAGGCCAAGGCAGGAGGACTGCCTGAGCCCAGGAGTTTGAGACCAGCCTGGGCAAGAAAGACTCTACAAAATGAAAAAGTTAGCCACATGTGGTGGTGCATGCCTGTGGTCCTAGCTACAAAATTAAAAAATTAGCTACATATGATGGTGTGTGCCCATGATCTCGAACTCCTGGGCTCACACAGCCTCCTGAAGTGCTGAAATTACAGGCATGAGGCACTGTATCCAGCCTGTGGATGTCTTTATTGGGTTCAATAAGGCCGGGCGCGGTGCTCAAGCCTGTAATCCCAGCACTTTGGGAGGCCGAGGCGGGTGGATCACGAGGTCATGAGATCGAGACCATTTTGGTCAACATGGTGAAACCCCGTCTCTACTAAAGATACAAAAAATTAGCTGGGCATGGTGGCACGTGCCTGTAATCCCAGCTACTCAGGAGGCTGAGGCAGGAGAATTGCCTGAACCCAGGAGGCGGAGGTTGCAGTGAGCCGAGATCGCGCCATTGCACTCCAGCCTGGGTAACGAGCGAAACTCCGTCTCAAAAAAAAAAAAAAAAAAAGACTGTGGTGGGTAATGCAAGTATATGTATGATAGTAAAGGATAAGTTGGGAGTGTCTTGGATTTAATTTCTCAGTGAAGCAGGAGGACAGGCTGTCTGCTGAGGGGGTGGGGAGAATGAGGTGGATTTGCAACAGTCCTTCATGAACCTCTCAAAAGCAAATCTGTGGCAGAGTATAGAGTTTTCTGTACCAGGACTCAGAGCTCCAGGTTTAGGATGAGGGCAGGCAGCTCTAGAGCTGGATTCTGTAGTCAGGGTTTTCCAGGTCTTATGAGTGGAGGGAAAAGGGAGCAACATATTGAGGGAGCTGGTGGGAAAGCAGTCATTGGCCACAGGTCTAGCTTGGGTTTTAAAAGACTGAGGCGGCCGGGCGCGGTGGCTCAAGCCTGTAATCCCAGCACTTTGGGAGGCCAAGGCGGGTGGATCATGAGGTCAAGAGATCGAGACCATCCTGGTCAACATGGTGAAACCCCGTCTCTACTAAAAATACAAAAAATTAGCTGGGCACGGTGGCACGTGCCTGTAATCCCAGCTACTCAGGAGGCTGAGGCAGGAGAATTGCCTGAACCCAGGAGGCGGAGGAATGGTGAGCTGAGATCGCGCCATTGCACTCCAGCCTGGGTAACAAGAGCGAAACTCTGTCTCAAAAAAAAAAAAAAAAAAAAAAAAAGACTGAGGCTTGGGAATTGAGGGGAAAGGAAAGATAAACTGTGAGGCCACGAAGGGGTTAAAGTGCTGGAACTCAGTGAGGCCAAGGAGTGGTGAAGTGGGAGGAAGAGAATGAAGCTGGAAGGATTGTGATTTGAGTGGGATGTGGAAGTTTCATTTTCCTTCCACATCAGATGGGTCATGTGCCAATGTTGTAACAAGGTTTGAGAGGCCCATCTCACACTTGAAAGCGAAAACCCAGTCATCACGCTTATGAACTACGGAAGGATACAAAGCTTCATTTTTGAGAGGCTGTGAGGCTATGCTAGTAATGGTCTAACTGTGGCCTTGAAAACTGTAGAGCAGAAGGTTATTTGAAGTGATTAGGGAAGTTAGGGGAAGGTTAGGGAGTGGGATGGATTGGGTTTGGCAATTTGTCTCAGGATGAGGGTGGGAGTTAATGTGTAAGGTAAATGGGGGAGTCCTCAGCCGCTGTGGGCCAGGGTCAATGACAGCCGGAAGCAGTAGAGGGCCGTGAACCATTCGGTCTAGGGAGGACTTCGACAAAAGTAGAAAAGTAATTCTGTAGAAGTGGCAGGGGAAGCTGGGAGACTGCTGACCCCAAGTGCCCTCTTCTTGGCTAGAAAATAGAACTCGTGGGAGGAAGAGTAGCTTTCCCTTAAGAGGGCTGCAAGGGAAGCAGCGTCCTTGCGGCAAGCCCAGGCTTCAGTTATGGTAAGGAGGAGGAAGTGTAGTGAAGGTTCCTGGAAGCTGCGGGCATTGAAGAATTTGTTTTTAGTGGAATGAGGTTACCAAGAACACAGAAGGAAAACCGACAGAAAGATGGCCGGGAGAAAGGTGATGTCCCCATGAGAGGAAAGTCCCAATGAAAAGACTTAAAGTGCAGAGACTGTTTCATCTATGTATCACAGTATTAGCCACATAGTAGGTGCTCATTTAACACAGCCCAGTGAATGGCTCAACAGTCCGTTTCTGTGGCTTCTTAGTTTGACTCTCTGAGACTTCCTTTTTTTCCATCTGCTTCCTGGGGATGCTTCTGCTTTTACCCCCCTGGTTCTGAAATGTATAGCAGTTGCTCTCCAAAGTCCCAGTTCTTTCCATCTGAGAGAGTCGGTGCTGTAATACTGTATCCTATAACACACTGGGGGGGCCCGCAAAGCCAGGGCTGAAATCTCTCTGGTTACCACTCTGGAGAAACTGAAGTTCAGAAAAAGCAGAGTTAGTTCAACAGACTAGATTAAGATCTACCATAGAGTATGAAAAAAATAAAGATGCTTCCCCCAGTCAAAGTTTGAGGCTACCAGCCTGTACTGTGGTCCCCAAACCAGCCCCAGCGCGGGGTGGCGTGTGGGACTCAGCGACAGCAGCAGTGCACGGCGGGCTGTGGACTGTCAGGCTGTGTGCAAGGCAGCCTCCAGCAGGTGGGGCTGTGGAGTCGCAGAAGGCCGGCCGCCTGGAGCAGAACGCGGCGCTGCTGCCACCCTCTGCTTTGAATGGAGTCGTTCTTGCGGTACGTAGAGTCGAGCTCGGGAGATCGCTGCCTTCTCATAGAGAGTACAGCTTGGGAGACTGACTTTGCGTCCTTCTTTCTAGCATTACTCCAGAGCCCTGTTGCCTCGAGGGAGGGGGAGGTCTTGATGATGGGGAATGTCAGCTAATGGAGCGTTCACAGGGTTTATGAGTTTGAAGTCCCAGTGTACCCACATCCCGGCTGTGCGCACACAGGCCACTTGCCGGACCTCCGAGAGTGAGTGATAATGGAAATATACATGAAAGCCTTGGTAGAGTGAAGACTCTAAAAATATAAGGATTTATTATTAATGCTTAATGGGTAGTTAAGAGCAAGAATACGTTCCTTGATCTATTCTAGAGAAGAGGAACTCTAGGGAAGGTATGGACAAAAGATTTTTCTATTTGCAGAAGAATTGGTCCTTTTCACTATATGTTTTCACTTCTGCAAGGTCACGTAGTGGGGTGAGGGGTAAGAATGCCAATTTGCCACACAACATTCTAGGGAGGTTAAAGCACTCAGAAAGTAGAATCCGTAAGAGTAATAGTAATAAACTACCGTCTATATAACTCCTGTGTGCTAGGCACATTACATATGTTATTCAATTTGATCATCGTAACAGCACAATGGTATAGATGCATTTATCTGTTGTAACTAGAAATTGAATATCAGCATCTGAGATGTATGTAATAGCAGAGGGTTACACAGATAATAAACAGTGATGGCAGTATTTGAACTCAGGCCTTTTTGGCGGTAATGGCTCATGTCTTTCCCACTGTAATGTGTGAACTCCTCCTTTGCTAAATCTCTAAGACCATTTCCAAGGACCTGTCTTAAGCTGATTGCTAAGAATCGCTCAAGAAACTTGTTAAAATGCATATTCTTGAACCCCACCCTGGAGGAGCCTCATGAATGACTTAGACCTTTCCTTTTCTTTCTCTTTTTTCATGCCATGTCCCCTTCCATTACTGTAGTTTTTAATAGTCATAGTAATCAGGATTTCTGGTTTTTGAACGCCTTATACCTCACATCTCTCCTTGGAAACAACGGTAAATGAAAGCTCATCTTCTCAAGCCAAGGACCCCTGAGCTTCCCCACCAGAGGATTATGCAATCAGCAGCAACTTTTGGTTTCAACGACACATTGTTATCTCCTTTATTTTGCTGGGGGTGGGGTGCAGGAGCTATGTTTGGACACAGATAGTTCACTACTAGCGAGATGCTTCTACTTGGGGAGAACTTAGCCCTGGAAGGGAGATAGGAGCAGAAACCAAGTGGATTCCTGGGGTTTTATTCACCTAGATCAATCAACAAATATTTATTGAGTACTCTGTGCCAGGCACTAGGCCAGGTATTGGTGCTGGAGCAGTGTGTACAATAAACTCCCTGCAGTCATGGAGTTTTAGGTAGGTGGACAGAGAAGGGAGTAGGTATTCATGGAGAGAGTCAAACGAAGTGGCAAGTGAACTGTGAATTTCTGGGGAAAAACATACCCGCTAGAGGGCATAGCAAGTGCAAATAGTCCAGGCAGGCGTGTCCTGGGAGTGTCTGTGAGACAGCAAGAAGGCCAGGGTCCAGCCCAAAGGCAGGAGTGGAGTGTGGCAGGAGAATCAAGCTAGGAGGTGGGAGGGGAGAGGCACCATTGTTTGGATCATGACCTTCTAGGCCACTGGGCGGATTTTGGTTTTATTACAAGTAAGACAAGGAGCCACTGGAGGATTTTCTGTGGGAAAGAGACATGATTCAATTTACATTTTAAAAGGATGACACCAGGTGCTGGGTTGAACACAGACTTCAGGGGGCAACGGTTCTCCCTGAATACCAAGGCAGCTCTGTCTGTCTGCATCTCTTGATCGGTTGTGGCAGATTCTTTTTTTTTTTTTTAATTGCATTTTAGGTTTTGGAGTACATGTGAAGAACATGCAAGATAGTTGCATAGGTACACACGTGGCAGTGTGATTTGCTGCCTTTCTCCCCTTCACCTATATCTGGCATTTCTCCCCATGCTATCTCTCTTCAACTCCCCACCCCCACCTTTCCCTCCCCTATTTCCCCCCAACAGACCCCAGTGTGTGGTGCTCCCCTCCCTGTGTCCATGTGTTCTTATTGTTCAACACCCGCCTATGAGTGAGAACATTCGGTGTTTGATTTTCTGCTCTTGTGTCAGTTTGCTGAGAATGATGGTTTCCAGGTTCATCCATGTCCCTACAAAGGACACGAACTCATCATTTTTGATGGCTGCATAATACTCCATGGTGTATATGTGCCACATTTTCCCTGTCCAGTCTATCATCGATGGACATTTGGTTTGGTTCCAGGTCTTTGCTATTGTAAACTGTGCTGCATTGAACATTTGTGTGCATGTGTCCTTATAGCTGAACGATTTATAGTCCTTTGGAGATATACCCAGTAATGGGATTGCTGGGTCAAATGGAATTTCTATTTCTAGGTCCTTGAGGAATCGGGTTGTGGCAGATTCTATTCCTCATCTCTCTACCGTAGTCAATAGGTGTTGGTCCATTTTGCATTGCTGTAAAGAAATACCTGAGACTAGGTCATTTATAAAGAAACAGATTTGCATGGCTCATGGTCCTGCAGGCTGTAAAAGCGTGGTGCTGGCATCTGCTCAACTTCTGGTGAGGCCTCAGGAAGCTTTTACTTATGGCAGAAGGCATGTCACGTGGTGAGAGAGGGAGCAAGAGAGAGATGCCAGTCTCTTGTAAACAGCTAGCTCTCAGGTAAACTAATAAAGTAGAAGTTACTCATTACCATGAGGACAGCAGTAAGCCATTGGGGAGGGATCTGCCCCCATGACCCAGACATTCCACCATGCATCACTTCCAATTGAAATGAGTGAGGACCACATTTCAATATGAGATTTGGAGGGAACGCACATCACACCACGTCAGAGGTCAGGCTTTGCCCTGCATCAGTCCTCTCTGCTCCTCTTGTGCACTCTCAGTCATAGCACCATGTTTCTCAAAGTTGCAAATTGATTGCAGTAGGGGATTTGATATTTGTGAGAATGTTGGCCAGAATTCGCAGTGTCTGAATACCCGAGCAGTCAAGTCAAAATGCCCCCATTATGCTAGAATAAAGCAATTTCTTTCTTTCTTTCTTTCTTTCTTTCTTTCTTTCTTTCTTTCTTTCTTTCTTTCTTCTTTCTCTTTCTTTCTTTCCTTCCTTTCTTTCTTCTTTCTTTCTTCCTTCCTTCCCTTCCTTCCTTCCTTCCTTCCTTCCTTCCTTCCTTCCTTCCTTCCTTTCTTTCTTTCTTTCTTTCTTTCTTTCTTTCTTTTTCTTTCTTCGATGGACTCTCACTCTGTCTTCAGACTGGAGTGTAGTGGCGCAATCTTGGCTCACTGAAATCTCTGCTTCCTGGGTTCAAGCGATTCTCCTGCCCCAGCCTCCCAAGTAGCGGGGACTACAGGTGTGCACCACCACACCCAGCTAATTTTTTTTGTATTTTTAGTAGAGATGAGGTTTCACCATGTTGGCCAGGATGGTCTCCATCTCTTGACTTGGTTATCCGCCCACCTCTGCCTCCCAAAGTGCTGGGATTACAGGTGTGAACCACCGTGCCTGGTCAGCAATTTCTACTTTAGGGATAAAGAGGCATAGCCATAACTTGCTTACTCACTGACACATTCACTCATTCTTTCAGCTCTCGTTGAGCACATGCCATGTGCATAAGTCACTGCATTAAGCTGCTGGAGAACTAGACACTTTTAAAACGCTCCCTAAGACATAAACTCTGCCCTTG